AGTATCAGAGAATACATCATTGCCTTAACAATGACCTTGGATACAAAGGTTGGGGGGTGGTGGAAGTAGAAGAGGGTATAGGGAGGATAAATGGTGATGGGGGAAAAAGATACAAAGGTTATCTGATATTATTTTTCAGGACTACACATTTGAAGGAAAATGAGTAACATAATGTATTACCCTCACACACACGCGTGCACGCACACAAACACACACAGAGTGAGAGAGAGAGCCTGATGCTTTCTGTTGTTGTTCAGTGACCTTCCAAATAAACCTATTATAGTTTCTTCTTGAAAGATACCCTACATTCACATTCACAAAGGCAACAGTAAAACAATTGCCCTTGGCATTTCTTCAAAGATGTGATTCAGGAGTTATGTGATTATTGGCTTTTTTCTGTAGGCATATGTTGCCCAGTGGGATCTGACACTCTTCAGACTTATCTGACTCAGAAAGAAAAATATGGAGAGGATAAGGTCAGAGCAGTATGGAAAGCATAGTAAAACACATTTGCAAAGTTAGAACAAAATACTCCAGGTCCAGCATCCGTAGTCTGGTCTCCCAGTGCCAGCCTTTATTTAGATACCTAGGACTCGGATTGAGTATGTACCCTGGAATAGCTTAGGTCTGAGGTCATCTAACCTCAGGGAAAACAAATACACAGAAAACACTGCACACATTCAAGCAGCTCAGACGTCTTCTTTAGAGAAAAAAAAAAATTAAAAATCCCAGAATTCCTATGGAAAGCAGCAGAAAGCAACACTGCTCAGCACAAAAAAAACATATGGAGCAGGCAGCCATGGATCAAATGAGGACTCTCATTCTAAAGGTATCTTTTTCTCCATTGAAAAGGCTTTAAGTTATATTCCACTTATAATTCCTAACTTTAAGTCTGTTTTCTGTGACACCAAACTTTGACAACAAATTTAAAATATTTCATCACTACACCTAAAATTATCTGGCAGACAATTCTGGTACATCTTGCTAACTAGAGATCAATTAGGACTACTGTTTATATTTTTAATTTTTTAAAAAATATATTTTATTGATTTTTTACAGAGAGGAAGGGAGAGGGATAGAGAGTCAGAAACATCGATGAGAGAGAAAAATCGATCAGCTGCCTCCTGCACACCCCCTACTGGGGATGTGCCCACAACCAAGGTACATGCCCTTGACTGGAATCGAACCTGAGACCCTTCAGTCCGCAGGCTGTCGCTCTATCCACTGAGCCAAACCGGTTAGGGCAGGGCTATTGTTTAAATGCATAGGATGGCATTCAAGTTTAGAAATGAAAAGTGCCTAATACCAACAAACCTCACTACTGGCCCACCTTATTGCCAGCCCTCTTTTAAAAAGTAAAGAATTTGTATTTGTTTTAAGGAGAAGGTTATTATGCCCTAGTTACTATTTCACCTTAGTAAGCAGGAAATACTTTTTCTATGAAACTAAAAAACACTTGGTTTTATAACAAATTTAGAAATCTTGTGCATTACATTCCTCTGGTAGAATATTTTTCTTAAAAATTAAAGAAAAATATTTTTTAAATACTGCTCTCACACTTTTACCTTCCAGGGAAATTATAGGAAAAAAGCAGGGGGGAAACCCACACATACATACACCTATTAATGCATAAAAGAATGTTTCTTACCCAACTGGAAAGTACACTGTGAAGGCGAGGTGGTGCTGAGCTTTTTTTAGCAAGGACACAGCTGACCAAACCACAGAGCATTCACCAACCACATCATCCAACCAACCCCCTTGCTGTTCCCCTGGCTTGCATCCACTGGGCTCATTTCCACCCACCATTTGCAGGATGCCTCTCTACAGCCATATGGACCAAGATGATGAGTCATCTATCATCCAGAATTTTTCTCTTGACCTTTCCACACCCAATCACCTTTCGCGCACTCGACAGGCACATCCTCCTCAGAGCACGTGCCTTGCACCCTGGAGTTTAAGGCTGAACACAGGAACTCGGCATTCCTGACACTCCTCACTTTGCCAAATGGATTTATTCCAGAACTTTACAGAAAAATCACAACTGAAAAAGTGACCAGATGGGGTGTTCAAGGAGAAATATACAAACGAAGTCAGTTAGGAGACTGACGTACTTGATTAAAAACAGACCTAGGATGTAAAAGAACTTCAGTTTTTCACCCTGAGAGGAAGTTATGGCAAAAGCAAAGCACTGAAACACTAAAACACTCCATAGCTGAACTGACTTTTTGACTTCACATAGCTAAATGTTTTTAAGTCCACATTTGAACGTAATACTTCATGAAGTCACCACACACACAAAAAATCTGCATATCAGGAATAAATAATAACAGCAGAATCTCATACTTATATAGCACTTATTATATGCAAACATTCTTCTAAGCACGTTGCATATATTCATTCACTTCATCCTTACAAACCCTTTTCTAACCCATTTTCCATGCAGAATAGGATGCAGAGGTCAGGTATCTTGCCCAAGGTCACACACACTGCCAATAAGTGAAAAGAGCCGAGATTTGAAATGAGCAGTCTGCTACAACCTGGGGTTAATTATTATTACACTGACCACCTTCCCAAAAATCTGTAACACAGATGATACCCTTTTAAAACAGATTTTTTAAAGTTTACTAAAAAAGTTCACTTTATAAGTTGAGAAGCCTTACATTAAAGAATTTAAACTCGGGAAATTACTGTTAGGTGGTGGTGAAGGCAAAGTTTATCAGTCATGGCAAATACCTACCCAAGAAGTATTGGAGGGCTAACTCTTGTGAGTTAAATGTATAGCGTCTGGAGAAATTAACCTGGCTGAAGGCGTGATGATAGCCAACAAACTAAAAAAGCTTGGAAGACAATAAAAGAAAACCCAGGGTTGTGGTACCTAACATCAGTCACAATGCTGTCGATTCTTCCTGCTCAATCTCTTCTCCCAAATGATGTCTTCTTTCCATCACATTGCTACTGCTTAAATTCAGACCTTCAACATCCCTTGGTCCGACTATTCTACCAATCTCTTCTTTGGCTTCTAGTCATCACCGCCTCCCTGTCCAAGCACCTAATCCCTCCTTTGCTGCTAAGCAAACAGTCTTTCTGAGACACAAATCTAATGTCATATGTGCAGGGGGCAGCTGATCAATGATTCTCTCTCATCATTGATGTTTCTATCTCTTCCTTCCTTTCTGAAATATATATATATATATATATATATATATATATATATATATATATATATATATATAAAGAATGCTCCACAGAACAAATCCTATGGGTGTTGGGAATGAGGCAGGAGATTCTAGGGTCAAATAAATTAAAAAAATACCTCATGTCTCCTCTATGAAGCATTAAATCACATGATCATATTAAAAGTTTGGCAAGCCCTAGGCAGTTTGGCTCAGTGGATAGAGGGTCGGCCTGTGGACTGAAGGGTCCCAGGTTAGATTCCAATCAAGGGCAGGCTCCTCCCCCGCCTGGGTCCTGGACGTGGCATGTGCAGGAGGAAACCAATCGATGTGTTTCTCTCACATCGATATTTCTCTCTGTCTTTTCCTTTCTTCCACTCTCTCTAAAAATCAATGGAAAAAATATACTCCAGTGAAGAATGAAAAAGAAAATAAGTTTGACAAAATCCTGAAGTAAAGGAAACTGGTTAACTTTGACACTAACTGGGCAGGTAATAGAACCCTATTAAGTGTTCAGAATAATTCTTGACACACAGTGTTAGCAATTAATGTTTAAACTGACATTTTCTAAATATATTTGAACACAAAGTCCATTTTCTGGTCTAGCCATTAAAAGCATTGCATGCCATATACTTTGAGAAACAATGTCATAGAATAAATACTCCACCATATCAGTCATTTTGGAGGTTTGTGGGCTCTAGACTTTAGCTGAAATACAGGCAACCTAATAGTTTGAATATGGGACAATTCCTCTGGTTTCTCTGTAGCTGGCAAACAAGGTTTCAACTGTCAGCTTCCCGAGGCTTCAGTTTCACCAAATTAAGACAGAAATGTGTGCACTGTGTGAACTAGACGAAAACAGCTCTGCAGTAGAAAGAGGTTTGCTAGAGCTAAATTTCCCAATCCATTTTTTGTTCATAGAAAGCAGTATGTTCATCAGCAAACTTAAAGTAGAAGATTCTGAATTCCAGCTAAAGTACAAAATTGTGCAGCATTTTGTGTGTGAGCATCTGTATGTATTTTCTTGGGTGAAATATTACAGTTGTCATCAAGGGATCCATAACGCCTAAAAAGGTTAGGAACCACTCAGTTTTCAGATCAGGTCCATGAATTGTTTAAATACATGTTAAAAAATCAAACAGTACCAGGGCGTATGTATACATGGTGAAAAGTAAGTCTCCCAATCCTAATGCTTATCCAAGGTCAACCACTGTTGGCAGTTTTTTATATTCCAAAGATAGTTTATGCATGCGTTTCTAAGTATATACAGTAATATTATGCCACCCCTCTATTTTTGCATAAATAATAGGCAATATACACTATACTACAACTAGCTTTGTTCACTTGGCAGTTTATGTTGAGATCTATTCATATTATAACATAGGTGCATACCAAATTTAAGACATCGCTATGATAGATACTTAGATGGTTACCAATGTCTTGCTCTTTATAAATAATGCTGAAAATAAACATCCTTGAAGCTATATCTTTAGGCAAGAAATCCAGCAAAGAACTGCTGAAACAAAAAGTATAAAGACTGTTAAACTGTCCTCCAAAGGTTGCGCACTGTATACTCAACACTTATTTCCCACATATGCAATAAAAGATTTTCAAATTTTCTATCTTTGTTAATCTGACAGGTGAAAAATGGTAATTCCCGGCTTAAATTTTTGTGGCCTATTATGAATGAAAGAACCTCTAGTTTCAGATATACTTATGACAACTTCATCATGGAAAGAAAAGGCGTCATCAAACTGGAACAATAACGGAATTCTATTAGGAACAAGCTACTCCCAGAAACCCAGCTTACCCACGGGTCCCACTCACCGTCTAGCAGCCAGTGCTGATCCTGTCGGTTCTCCAGCTCTGACAGCATCATGCGTGTGATCACGTGGTCTGGAACCAAACGGCCTTTCTCTATGTACTGCTTTGCCACATCACCAACTTCTGTTAAAAAGGCAGGAGAAAAGAGATTCTCAGAAAAAGCTTCAATAATAAAAACCTTACAAACGCTTTTTGGACAATTTTGCCTTCTCTCCCATTCCTCCTGGTTCATATGGGGGAGGGGGGGTTAAGTTTTAAATATTGCTTCAGTAATGGTGGCACTGTCTCCCTCTTGTCTCCCAAAGAATTATAAAAGCACCTCTTGATGAAATAAAAATAAAAATATATGTTAGACATAACATGAAAATAAGAGTAGGAAACAAAGTTGGAGCCTGGAAAGAGGGTGGTACACAAAAGGCCAGAAAGGAGCCCTGGCGACTCCCTGAAGGTGAGCCAGAAACTGGATCCTGAGCCTCCCAACAAGTTATGGTAACAAGGAAACGTGATCAACCACACGGCACACAGTGTACAGAAGACTGAAGGAAGCTGCGAAGCACAACCATTCCTTAGAGACCAAAAAAAAACAAAACAAAAAAAACATTTTCACTGTTCTTCTAGAAAGAATGCTGGGTAGTACACACAACAGGTCTATATCTTCTCCGGAGCCCCCGTATAAGCAAATAGCACATTGCTGACATAACTGTGAAAGAAACTAACTCAGTGTTATCAGTGGAATGCCAAGTTCATAAAAGAATGAAAATTTTTTATTTTTCAAGAAAAAATGCTTCTATCTTAATTTAAAATAACAATTCCTTACTTGTAGAAGTTGTGAGTTGGATTCAGCAGAACAATTGATCAGTTTAAATTGTTTAAATGTCTACGCACTGAGTTTTTATTTAACCAAGATGAAGTCATCTGCTCTCCAGGGAACTGTTAGTGAACCATGAGGAGTCACATCCTCCACAAGCCAATGAAGTTCTTATAGAAACATAAAGCAGCTTTATATTGGGGGGGGGGGGGGGGATGGGAGCTCAAGAATCATTTTCCCCCACCTTCACCTTGAATTTAAGGTAGAGCATTTCCTTCTCAAGGCTGAGTCTACTCCTAACTCCAACTTCCACACTGAAACATGAGCTGTGAAGAGCTCCGTATCACTCCATCACTCCTACTGGACCAAAGTAGCTCAGTTAGGCCCCGGGAGACGCGTATTCAATAACTCCCTGAAGAAGTAGAACGCTAAAGACAAGCACATTCCTGAATGTGGCTGAACATGAATGGGAAAATATTGATTGCGTACTACGTAACAGGTAATATTCTAGAGAGGTGGCAGTAAAGAAAAGTACTGATATTTAAGCAGTATTAATTTCCTTAAGAGCAACACTAGCGATCATTAACTTAATACATCCTATGCTCCTTTAACTGAATACATACTATGTTCCTTTAAGTATTGTATGTGTCATTTCATTTCATCCTCCTATATCCTCACCTTCACCTAGGAGGTAACAGCCGTTTTTTTGTGACAGCTTTTTGAGACATACCACACCACAAAATTCACCATTTTATAACGTACAACTCAGTGGTGTTTAATACATTCTCAGTGTTGTGCAATCATCACCACTACCTAATTCCAGAACATTGTATCAACCCCAGAAAGAACCCCTGCACCCATCAGCAGTCACTCCCCATCTCCTCCTCCCACTAGCATGTGGCAACTACTAACCGGCATTCTGTCTGTAAAGATTGGCCTATTCTGCAACATCTCATAAACAGAATCACACAACATGTGGTACTTTGTGTCTGGTTTCTTTCACTTAGCAGAATGATTTCAAGGTTCACTCATGGTGTAGCACAGGGGTCCTCAAACTACGGCCCGCGGGACACATGCAAATACAAATATTGTATTTGTTCCCGTTTTGTTTTTTTACTTCAAAATAAGATATGTGCAGTGTGCATAGGAATTTGTTCATAGTTTTTTTTTAAAACTATAGTCCGGCCCTCCAACGGTCTGAGGGACAGTGAACTGGCCCCCTGTTTAAAAAGTTTGAGGACCCCTGGTGTAGCATATATCAGTACTTTGTTCATTTTTATGGCCGAATACTATTCTTCCGTTGTACTGATAGAACATATTTTGTTTAGCTACTTGTTCATTGAGGAACATTGGGTTGTTTGTTTCCACTTCAGGGCTATGGTGAATAATGCGGCAATGAACATTCGTGCACAAGTCTTGGTCTGAACATATGGTTTCAGTTCTCTTGAATAATACCTATAGGGTATGTATGTTCTGTATCTGAAAAATCACTTTCATAGTAGGCTTGGAGTAGCTGACAAGTTTGGTGCTGTCCTACTCTGCAATAGGCAGGCCAACCAGCCCCAGAGCCTTATTCTTAGGCCCATTTAACAAACCTTAAGGTAGATATAAACAAGTACACAGCTTCCAAGGTGAGAGACCAAGATGTGAAATGGCGCCAGACATCCCATGAGGAAAGAGTAGGTAGCAGCTTCTTTGGAAAAGAGAAGACCCAGAGAAGGACATGATAACAATTTACCCATGGCCTGATACTCGATACATGGGAAAGGCTTTATTTTATTCAAAGCCTAGGATTTAGAATTAGGATTAGTAGTGGGAATTTCAAGTGGTTCCAAAAAGTTGCCTAAGGAAATGTCTGAATGGAGACTCAAACACTGCCTAGGAATGGCTACTGTAGAGGGATTATGACAACTGGACTCGGGATTGGGCAACATGGTTTTCCAACTATTTTTGGCAGCCTTGGCTCTTCTCAGGCAGGATAGGTATGTTCTCAATCTGATTCCAAAATCAAACTTCCACCACACCTCTCAATCCCTACCATGAAAACCTGGAAAGGTCAACAGCCAGAGCAAAATGGATTTAATAATATATCTACATCTGAATGAAGACCTTCTCAACAGCAAACAGTAATACAATGTGGGTCAGGAGATAGAGGCCCATTCTGGGAACCTGCCCGGGTCAGTTTGCTTGGAAGAAAAGCAATATTATTAAGTGCTAATGCTAGCACATTTGGATACAACACATGGCTGCTCCAATCTTTCAAGTAGAATTCCAAAGAAAGGCTGCAGACAAGCACACAGGGTCTTTTTGTTCTGATTCCCTATAAATTAAGGGCAAACTGGACAGAGCTGGACAAGTGTTCACAAAGCAGCAAATTCCCCAAGATGACTAGCCAAATCACCAGAAACAGATAACAACTCAATGTCCTTTTACTTTTTTAAGTATTTTTATTGATTTCAAAGGAAGGGAGAGAGACAGAAACATCAAGGATGAAAGATAATCACTGAATTATTGATCAGCTCCTCCTGTAAGCCCCACACCGGGGATCAAACCCACAACCCGGGCATGTGTCCTGTTGACGCTCAACCACTGAGCCATGCCGGCTGGGCTCAATGTCCTTTTAATTGTTCATGCAGAAAACACTGAGAATAAAAGAACCCTGTAAAAAACAGCTTGATTCCCTCATAAGGCTGCCTAGAATCAGGAGAAACCATTGCCACTCCCAGGATCAGCCCTTCTTCAAAAGGTCATTGAAATGCCAAAGCACACACACGCACCATCTGAGGAGTGGTCAAAATGAACTATCGCTTTGTGGTTCTGCCAGCTACAAGTTCCTTATCCCCCCACTCTTAAGAATATTTTGACACTGAAGTAGTTACTTGAAAAAGATTAATAAAACAAAGAAAAATTTCATTCTATAAACTATTTATCCTTGAAATCACTTTGATGAATCTCTTTGGATTAAAAAAAATAATAATAAGCTTTTAAAAAAATCTTGGTTAAGAGATGGATACCAAGGACCTTTAGAGGTGAGAATTATGGAAGAAACTCCTAATTTTAGCGGGCACTTAACTCAATGACTCATTTCAGATGTCCAGTATCCACCCTCCAGTTGGCCTAGCTTAAAAGCAGGCTTTCTTTTCCTTCACAACAAAAAGACATGGTCTTAAATCATTCTGTGACACTTGCTATTGGTAGGTATGAAGAACATTCTGAGTCATACTTCCTGGGTTCAAATTCTGACACTGCCATGGACAGGCTTTTAAGACTTTGGTCACACTGTGTGTTTTGGCCTCACTTTCTTCATCTATAAATAGGGAATACCCACCACCTACAATTGTTTTAAAAGTTGTATGTGATTCATATGTGGTAAAGGACTTGGAATAATACCCCTTTGCAAATTTCTCTCAAGGATAAGGAGATCGTATTTTACTCATATATGGCAGGTGTTGTTCTCAGTAGTTTATATACATGAACCCATTTAATGCTAACATCTAGGAAGTCGATGTTATTATTTTCCCCATTTCATAAATCAACTGAAGCACAGAGGTCAAGTAATTTGCCCAAAGTAATTCAGCTACTAGATGGTGGCGCCAGAACTCAAACTCAAGCAGGCTGGTACCAGCGTTCCTTTTCTTTACCACTCGTCACACTACATTATCTCTGAATGTTTGTGAGCATTTCCTTGTACACAAGCACTTTGAATGTTAGAGTACGTGTGTAATTTGTGATTTATAAGAAATATATATGGTCCAAAAGTAAGGCTCAGAGCTCCCCAGTGCCTTGGGATTTCCTGAGTGGTAAGAGCAATGGGAGCATCTTTCATTATAATATTTGGTCTCTTGTCCTTAGTTCCTGAAAATGTTCCGGAGCCCTAAAAGTGAAATGGTGTCTTGTTATTCATAAAAAGCCTCTTCCCACAACTGGGTTTATAATAATGGGATAACTGTTGGAAAGCACCTAAGGGTGGGCACTGGTTGCCAGAGGAACAACCATGAAGAGAGGGGTATATTTTCACTCCCACCCCCTGACTTCCTGGAAGGGGAGAGGGGCTGGAAGTTGGCTCAGTCATCAGAGGCCAATGAGTCAATGAGTCGTACCTATATAATCTGCCTTCATAAAAACCCAAAAAGCGGGGGTTCAGAGAGCTTCCAGGCTGGGGAACCATAACACTTCAACGTGCCAAACCCCAAACTCCATGAGGACAAAAGCTCCTTTGTTCAGCACCTTACTCTCTGTATCTTTTCATCTGGCTGCTGATTTGTATTCGTTAATATATTTTGTAATAAACTGATAACCTAGTAGATAGATGGGT